AGCGAACCGGGCCAGGCGAGTGCACGAACGAGCGAGCGGGAAGCGAGCTAGCGGAGTCGCGGCGAGCGAGAAGGGAAGGCGATAGCGCGGTGAGCGAGCAAACAAAGAAAAGGATCGAGCTGTCGTTGAAGAGCGAACGTTAATTTATTTAAGTTTATTGTGTCCTTGTTGGTCCTTGTATTGTTGGAGTGTTACCAAAGGACTGTGGTGTCAGTAATCATATAAAAATCTCATTTTCTTAAGGTTACTGTAAGGTGAAAAAACTATCTTCCAGAGTATAGGTGGCAGTGCTTTGGTTTTTGGTGATTTAGTTGCTTACTATGAAAAACTTTCACAGCCACAGACTGGACTCCCAACTCCCATTAGTTCCAAAGTTATGAGGGTTTTAGTGTTATTTTAGCCGTTTACTAAAAATTCTCCTTGCGATGAACCAAAAAGTTTACGGAGGTGTGATTTTTTATTTTAAGGCCCAATGGACATGCAAACAGACTAGCAAAGCCGGATTTCACAATATATGCATAGATAAGCTGTAATTTCTATTTGGAAAATGCGTTTTGAATTTTTTACTTTAATTTGGTAAAATTTTGCTAATTTTTGGTGTTTTTTTGTGTTTTTTGAGAAAAATTCCTGTTTCATGTTGGAATTTTGGAAATCCGGCTTTGCTACGAGATAGGCAAATCAATAAAGAACTTGTAAAACAAAAATCAAGTCTCGACAACTTTTGGTTCATCGCAAGGAGAATTTTTAGTTAACGACTAAATTTGTTACGTAAACTTCAATAACTCAAAAATAATGGGAGTTGAGTGCCTCAACTTTGGGCTTAAGTTTATCTTATAGGAAGCAACCTGAAACCTAAATACAAACATGATGCCACAATTATTTTGAAAAATGATATTTCACATTTTTTCACTTTACAGTAACCTTAATCAGCTTAGAAACGAATGTGAACCATTTTTCGAGTGTTCGTCCGCCTGAGCGAGCAGGTTAGCGTCCAGGGATCCTTAACTTACCTCATAAGGGCATCAAAACGTTATCGTAAGAGTTTAAGTTATTACCCTTTACTTCTAACATCTTTTCAAAAGGGTAGGTTATTTTTTTATGTCTCGAATTTGTGTGGATATACTTTTGCAAGTACTTTCAAAAGTCCGCACCCTTAACCTTTAGCGAACATTGTCTTATGTTACGTTATGAAGGCAGTGTTGGTTATATGTTAAGTTAAGGTGAGAAATACCCATTGAAGCCCCTTTTTTTAAAGTGCCTAGTTTTCATTGAAAACTCTTTCCTACCTTAAGGAGTTAAATTTTGTCTTGTAATGTGTTCCATGAATGGGGCAATAGGATGTGAAGACGACTACCAGGCTGGCGGGGAGTTCATCAACACAATCATCTGCCCCATCTGCCGAGAGGAACATTCTACTCCTTCGGCGCTGGATTACCACATCCGCAGCGGGGCCCATGGGACGTCGACCCGCAGGCTGGCCATTTGCGTGGCCGCCGCCGCCTGGGAATCGCGCGGATATGTAAGTACAAGCAACTCATACGACGGCCCCACATAACCATGTTTTCCAGTGTGTGATGTTGATAATTTTTTTCCAGCTGGTACTGCCGCTCCCGAGGGCCGCGCACGGCCTGGCAACCGTACCTACATTCGTGCAGGACTGCCACATTATGTTTTATGTATTGTTTTTAGTGTTTCTAGTGAAAGGAAAGAAAAGGCTGAACCAAGGAGAGGCAGGGACGACGGCTCCTAAAAAGGTAATAAGACTGCCTAATCCAACATTGGATGAAAAAGGTGCACTTGTAAGTTATATGGAGGGACACTCAAATTGTGTGAATTGAGCACGAACGAAGAGCTCACTTTCCCCGGTAGAAGTTCGGACAAAAATGAAGGCTACTCCAAATTGGCACAGAATTTGGAAGAGTTTAAAAAGCTTGGACAAGTACCCTAAGGCCTCTCAAAGAGAAATCTCTCAAAGAGGGCGGGGGGTTGCTTGATACCCTAACCAACAAAGCAGCAGGCTGGCACAGATCCTGTCACCTTGAATTTAGCTCATCGAGACTGGATAGAGGCAGGAAGAAGCCAAGGCCCAGCGAACCAGCATTGCCAACTCTATTTCTCCTGTGAAAACACAGACTAAAAACAGTCTTTTCCCCCTGACACATGTTTGTTTTGTGGTGGTTTTGGTACAAGGTGCCACATTTTCAGTACTGTCTCAACTCAACACTGAAGCCAAGAAATCTATGATTTTGCAAAAAGATGAAAGACACGCAGACGCAATTGCTAGCAAGTCGCTAGTCGACTCGTCTACTCACCCTCAAACCCACTACACTCCTGGTCGGTCCAGCGCTCTTTCTTCCCCTCTCAAAACGCACCCTGCAGTCAAACGTTGCCGCCGCTTACACCGCTGGTTTGACTGTGTGAGTGCGAAAGCAGCCACGACACTCAGAGTAAGCGTTTATAGGGTTCACTGTGTACAAGGCTGGGCCGGACCGCAGACTGTTGGCGGGAGCTCTGGCTCGGTTGTATTTATGCATTAATACAACCGAGCCAGAGCTCCCGCCAACAGCCCATGGGCTGGACAACAGTGACACTTGCCAGTGGGGTGTTCGAAGCCGACAGTGGAAACCAGTAGACGTGACTCATGTTGGCCACCCACAAAAAACGCCAGCCACACTTTTCAACAGCTTTCTCGCCATCGCAGTTCAAATTCTGAAATATGGCACATTGGTAGGCCTTAGGGTAGAGAACACGTGGAAAAAGGTTTCAGAATTTGAGCTAAGTTTGAGAGAAAAAGTATCTTTAAAGAAGTCACTGACCCTAGACTATAAATATAACCGACATGTAAAAATATTGAAGCCATTTATGAATGACATTGCTGATCTTGAAAAGGGAATTAAAGTTCCTATAAATGGCTATGATAGAACATTCCGTGGTGCTCTCTACTGTGTGTCTGGGGACATACCAGCAATATCCGTCATGTGTGGATCCAAAGAATCTAAATCTAAAGCTCATTCTCCATGTCTCCTTTGCTATGGTAGTGCAGAAGAAGTGAAAGAGTTGTTCTCTGAAGAAGAATTTCAGTTGAGAAGTTTAGAATAGCGCAAGGAACACTTGCAATCACTGTCATCAGCCCAAACTCTGCAAGAATGAAAAAGTCTTTCTTCCAAATATGGAATAAATGGCCCATCAGTTGTTCCAGAAAGCTTAACATTTCATCAAATCAAGTGCTTCAGCTTAGACATGATGCATATAATTCACAAAGAGCTAATTCATTTAATACGTGCAACGCCTTCCCATGACCCCTTCCGATTTTGACCAAAATTTTTTTCTGAGATGCCCTTATGGTAAGAAAAAACATCCTAAAATATTAGGTCGCTAAAAAATTTACTGGCCAAGAAAACACATGTTTTCTAAATTTGCCACTTGCACAATTTGGGAGCTTCTTTACTACTCTGAGGTTTTTGGTGCTAAGTGGCTGAACTTACAGTGCTAGCCTCACTGGTGGGTTGCGAACTTACTCTAAGGATAGTATACTAGAGTCGAACGTTTCTTATCTGTTCGCAGGGAAACATGGATGAACAAATTCCTGAGGGGTCTGTCACCCCGTCAAGGACAGCTCAAGAGCGGGAAGAGGGAGAATGCACTCCATCACCTGCATCTGTTTTTGCCGCAAGGCTCTTTGACTTTGATGCCGCTTAATGAAGGTCCAGACGCCATCGATGCAATGATTGCGGAACTGGATAAAGAGTATGTAGATCCAGGATCAGGCTTCCGTACGTCGCCATCCCAAAAGGAAGCTGGTGAATCGCCCAATAGATTTGCACCATATCCAGCGCCAACAACTGTTAAGGGGATCGTGCCGATCCCTGTTTACAGTGCACCTGGAGGTAAAGACGATATGTTATATTCGTATAACTTTAATGTTCTTTGGACATTCATTGGCTGAGCGATAGCGAAGCCTGTTACTCCAGTGGGGTTGAAAAGTTTTTCATATCTGTCTGTCTGTGTGTGTGTGTGTGTCTGTGTGTCCGCACTACTCCTCCTAAACGGCTCGGCCGATTCTGCTGAGATTTTGCAGGGTCATTGGGCATATCCTTGGCTCGCCACACACCAAAATTCAGCTTTCTATCTCAATCCATTCGGTCATATTAGCCAAAAAACACTTTAAAAATGGCAGGAAAAAGACAACTTTTTTGGAACTTTCAACTTTTTGTCAAGTTCAATGTCGTTCTGAATGTTTTTGAGGCTGCTGATGACGAAAATAGAACCCATTCAGACCTCCGACCGAAAGTTTAGCCCCATTAGTGTAGATTTTGATGAGCACATGCTCTTTTTGAGGGGATCACGCCCATTTCCACGGTCTGCCAAGGAAGGCAGTCTGCCGAAGGCAGGTTAGCACCGCAGGCCAAGGTAGGTGTATACGCCAGGCGTGGATTGTCGAAACTGGCGCAGCATCGCGAAGCCTGTTACGACAAGACACAGTCTGGCGTACACCTACCTTGTTACTTAATTGGCTGAGCGATAGCGAAGCCTGTTACTCCAGTGGGGTTGAAAAGTTTTTCCTGTCTGTCTGTCTGGGTGTGTGTGTGTGTCCGCACTACTCCTCCTGAACGGCTCAGCCGATTCCAAAGAAGCGGCTGAAGGAAACATAGAATGGTACTTATCGGTATCTTTGATTGTTGCAAAGTGTCTTTTGTAAAAGATAAAACTTTTGTCATATTTTTGTTGTAGTCAGTGGTACTCATGTACACAGCGGCGAGTCCTGGACACCTCCAAGAGTTGAAAATGCATAGGACACACAAACCACCAATCATGACTCACACGAAGTAAGGGTTAGGTTAACTTCTCTTCGTAAAATCATTGATCACAGAGCCGTTTTGTCGACGATTGATGTCACGCCACGCCGCGCCACAGCACATTCATTGCCTGAGGTCGCGGGCCAAAGTTTGCGATATCGGCGCTTCCTCGCGTGACGTCACCGCGACCGGTCGAGCAGCAAGGGCACCACGCGATAGTCAAGTTTATCGCCACCGCCGGCGGACTGGGGCGGAAGACACGCCGCCGGCAGTAGTTCGAAACCATGCAGAAGGTGCTGATCCTCGTCGCGCTCCTGGGCGTTGCTGCAGCGTTCAAGACCGGTTCGTTGTGATTTTCGGGGCCCGTCCTACACGCTAGGCTTAGCATGCCTTGAAACCGTGTGCACCTGTCGCCTGCTCCACTATATGGGGCGTCGCCTAGGCGCAAGTCCTCAAATCATGGGAGAACTGGCCTTCTCCCATGGACACGCGACACGCACAGGTGGCTACTTACTTGGCTCCCAAGGTTCCCAGTCTGCGAGCACCTCTGGCACGGCCGACCCATGGCTAAAGGCAAAGTGCTGATGGTATATCGGACGGCCAGTGACTCCCTACCCTCTGTCCGTCTAAACGTCACCCATGTTGTTTTCGTTTAATGCGTTGAGAGGAATCAATTTCTATCATTGGTTATTAATTGGACAAGGCTACAGGAAAGGTTGTAAAATAAAGTTTGCAACCTTTCCTGATGTGAGCAAGATAGTGAGTTTTGAAATCAGCCAACAGTGGTTGCGGCTTCGAATGCAAGGACGGAGATTGCGTCGACCTAAACAAGCGGTGCAACGGCCGGGATGACTGCAGTAACGGCAGAGACGAGGAATCGGCGCTTTGTGACGGTAAGCTTACTCTAGTGGGGGTTCAAGATGCGTAATTCAGTTCTGAACCCCAAAATTCTTGAATTGAGTAAAAAGGCCGTCTTTAGAGTCAAGCTCGCTATTGAATATTAGTGCGCATGGTATTGACATTTTGTCAGTAGCACCGCTAGTGATTTATGTATCAATACGTACTTTTCGCTTGTGTATTTATTACATACGTATTTGATAGTGCTTATTTACAAAGAAATCCCAAATTATTTTATGCAGTATAGTGCACGTATCTAAGGAGAAATTTCTACATATTATTACTGTAGGCAATAGTACCTGGTCACTGACGATAAAGTCGGTAAGAGGCTCAGAGTGAAGGATTTTCTAGTACCTAAGTCAGAAGTTTCGTAGATCGTCGTCTAAAAAGTGGTTTCGTGCAGCACTCCCCACGGTGGCACTGCCTGTCAACACCACCGTGACGGCGCGGGTGCAGCACGGGGCGCACTCTGGAGTGCTACTGCTCCTATGCGGCAAGAGTTGCACCAAGGTGTGGCTGGTGGGGACCGGCGAAGAGGGGGAGCTGCGGCACTGGACGTGGATGTGCGACGCCCATGGAGGGAAATGCTCGAAAGTCCAGGTAATGGAATGCTTGAGTACAGCACGATTGAAGACGTGAAGCGAACACTCAAAGGCTCACTTCGCAAGGTTTTTTTTTAAAATCAAAGTTTTCGAAAATTATTTGCGTGCGGAGGAGGTAAGGTACAGGTACGTGAAAACTGATTATGGAACCGTATTCAACTTTCATGTCGGACCGAAATCACAAATTTGTAGTGGAGTTGCAGGCAAGCAGTTCCGACTGAAACGAGTTTTTCGAAACTAGTACAAAATATACACGGTTTCCGAGACACATGCCACAATTTTGAACCGATTTGGATGAATTTCGCTCGGACACGCATCGGACCCGTAATTGAGGCGCGAAATAGGATGGGCTAATTGCGATCAAATTCTCTTCACTGTGGTATTTTGGAAGAAACTTGGGCTAGAAAAAGGCTGTTTTCTGAACTGCTTTCCTAGTCAAACCGTAGAATTAAGCGTGATCCCCACGAAAATTACAATGTGGTGATCTTGATCTCCACCAATGTACTTAACTTTAGGTCGGGGGTCCGAATGGGTTTTGGTTTGAAGTACTGAAGTAATTTCCAATTTCTTTTCCTTATTTGACACCAGAATGACATTTATTCTAATGGCTCACACTAAGTTTGAACCCTTGAACTCACAACGTTTTAGCCAAATCGCGTAAACAAACGACCTGTGTATCTGTTGCAGTGGTAAAGAGAAATTCGACCAACTCGCCAGATCTGCTTCAGACGAAAAAGTTAAGATTTTAATCTGAGGTTATAGTAAAAAAGATGCCATTATCAGGATGTCCAGTACCCCGTCGGTCCGCAAATAAATCGCGAAAAAAGTATTTAACGACCTTGAGTAAAATATTCCCCTTTGATACTCCCCCACTTTTTTTTGTTTAATTTACATTTCTTCTTAGGTAATGACTTGTTCATTCTCAGTGCGATGAGTTCGGAAGTAAAACTTAAAAGTGAAACGAAAAGCATCCCTGCACTGTTATTCCAGGAACGTGACATCACGTTCAAACGAATGTGACAGGTTCATTTGAGCATTGTGTCACATTATTATCAGCCATAAATTAGCATATTCACATTCCAACAAATGTGACACAATGCTCAAACGATCGTGACATTTTGTCACATACGTTTGAACGTGATGTCACGTTCTGGAATGAGAGTGTGGATGTTTACTCCATAAAAGTCTCCCTCCTGCAGTCGGCTTCCGTGACCACTGGCTTCGGGCACGGCGAGATCGAGCTGGTGGTGCAGCACCGGGCCAACGAGCTGGCAGTGTGGCGGAAAGACCACCCGGCCGATGTGGTGACCGCCGCCGTGGACCCCACCAAGAGCGCCAGCCGGCCCAGCACCCTGCGCATCAGGCCGCACACTTGGGAGCAGGACATGCCGGTGCAATTCAGTGGTTAGTAATACAAAACACTCTGGACGAAAAATTGCCATCGCGTCAACATTCCCCTTAACCTAAGGGAATTCACTTTCATTCCAGGAACGTAACATCACGTTCAAGCGAATGTGACAAAATGTCAGGTTCATTCGCTCCACAAATCGAAGAGCGCACATTGTATGCTCTAACTGGAGCATGCTTGCCAAGCATGCACTTACTAGTGGATACATGCAATGTACACGCTAAATGAAGCATGCGTCCAGTGCAAAAGGGATAGGGAGTTGCCTGCATCAGTTAGCGTGTACATGGCATGTATGCACTATAAAGTGCATGCTTGGCAGGCATGCTCCAGTTAGAGCATATTGTATATACAATGGACGCTCTTCGATTTGTAGAGTGAGCATTGTGTCACATTCGTTACAATGTGAATCAGCCATAAGTTAGCTTTTCACGTTCAAACGAATGTGACAGAATGCATACAGGAACGTGACATCTTTTCACATTCGTTTCAACGTGATGTCACGTTCCTGGAATGAGTGTTCCACTTCGAAATTTGTTTCGGACACTAAACTCCCAACATCTTATTTGTATTGTAAAGTACTAAGAATCAGTTTGGCATTATGACAGCACAGCATTTCTTAGAAGGAAATTGGGATTGTACAACACTGCGAAAAAACTACAGAGAATCCTGGTAATTTTTTCACAGCGTCGCTCTGTACCAAAAACTACAGTGATCTCCGTCTTTTAAAAGACGGAGCTCACTGTTGTTTTTGGTGTTCATCTCTCTGTTGTCCGAGCGGCCAATGCCACATCGGGACGGCATGGTCAAAGCCTCATAGGTCACCGTTTGGTCCCAGAGGACGTCAACGGGCACCTCACAGGGTCCCCGATGACGATGCGAGCATTTTAGACCTAGGTTCCGACCATTCGTTGAAAAGGTCTCGTCAAGATCTACTCGAATCAAGAATTTTGAAAAAATTCTTGGTCAACCCCCTTTTTTTAAGATCCTGATTGGTCGACTGGATCTTGAAATAAGGGGGGTTGACCAAGAAAATTTTTTATTCTTGATTCGAATAGATCTTGATGAGACCTTTTCAAGGAATAGTCGGAACCTAGGTCTAAAATGCTCGCATCGTCATCGGGGACCCTGTGAGGTGCCCGTCGACGTCCTCGGGCACCCAACGAAGACCTATAAGGCTTTGACCACGCTGTCCCGACGTGGCCTTGGCCGCTCCGACAACAGAGAGATGAACACCAAAAATAACAGTGACCTCCGTCTTTTAAAAGACGGAGATCACTGTAGTTTTGGGTACAGAGCGACGCTGTGAAAAAATCAACAGGATTCTCTATAGTTTTCTCGCAGTGAACGTCTAGTGCGTGCATCGTACTCCCCTGCTGGATCAAATTCCTAACGAGTTATATTTATGGACCAGATGCTACAGTTGCCTGAACTTAATTGCTGCGTTTCAAGAGCGTGGTCTGCCCAGGAGAAACTCAAACATCGACCCTGACACGGCGGGTGAAGACAATGGAAGAAAGTAAAAATGGAAAATTTTAGAAGTAAAGAATAAATAATCATTGTACCCAGAAATACTCTCCTCGCGAACCAAGGTCAACTTATGCGCGCTTCCCCTCCACGATACCTGACCAAGGAGAGGAAGAATTCGCACAGGGAAAATCAATTAAGATAACTGGACACTAATCAAGGCTGAAATCGTGCGCGCAGTGACACCATGAATGATTTTGCAGACCTTTTTTACGTCCCTCATATAAGTGCCTCCCCTTATGCTAAAACAAAATATTTTTTTTGAAATTGTTGCAAAAAGATTGATCTTTCACATGGTTACTGCCGTTTGTCTCTAGCATTCATGGATATCTTTTCAATTCAGGTGCAGACAGAAAATTCGAAAACAATAGGGTACTTTCGTAGAATCCTGAACCGGAAGCAAGCAGACCAGCAGACGCCAAATTGGCCGGAAACTAACCTCTCTTCGGATCCAAAACTATAGCCAAGCTGTACAAATATTGCTCGCGAAACACATACAGACTGCAAACAAGTATCAAACGACTGTTAAGTTCAAGTGTGGCCGATATCTTTGACGAACGTCTCTTTCCCATGTCAAGTTTAGATCTACTTCCGCCAACATGGCGTCTGTGTGCCTCCGGTTCAGGGATCTACGAAAGTACCCTATTGAAAAAGCGTGCACGAAGTGCTACTGCCCCCTAAAAACACTCTCCTTTTCAACAGAAGGAAAGTGTACGCCAGACAGCGTACTGTTTCCTGAGTGATAGTGCAGCCTGTTACGCCAGTGGAGTTGATGAGTTTTGCATGTCTGAGTACACTACTCCACCTGAACCGCTCAACCCATTCGGCTGAGATTTTGCACCGTCGCGTCAGTAAGCATGTCCTTGGCACGCCACACACCAAAATTCGGCTTTTAACTGACATTTGTCCTCATGCTAGGTTTTACATCATTTCATTTGTTTATGAGGGCCCTGAAAATCAAAATACAAACATTAGGGTACTTCGGAGAAAACCTAGACCGGAAGTCAGCGATAGATCGGGAGAAACAAAAGACCATCGCGCGGCTGTGCTGAGCGGTGGAGGGGGCCGAAATGGGTGTAGTGAGGGTGAAGGCGGCGCGCGCAAGCTGTCCCCACTCTGCCCATCCACGCCCCCACCACCGCTCAGCACGGCCTCGCGACGCTCGTTTGTTTCTCCCGTTCTGTCGCTGACTTCCGGTCTGGATTTCCTCCGAAGTACCCTATTTCGGCATCCGACTCAGGTTCGAGACCTAATACGATAAAAGTTAGCCAGAAGTTTAGGGGAGTCAAACCACAACTGTCACGCAACTTGACCAGCGAACCAATCACATCGCCCCGTACATGAAGGGGGGTTCCAGCAGGGGGCGGCAACGACACTGCTAAGACGGGGGATATGCGCGATACCCCTACCATCATCCCTGTAGACCGTCACTGAGGTCACTTCCGGTCCAGTAGGAGGCACTTCCCTTGACGCAGTGTCATATTTTCACTGTTTGGAACAGTTGTTTAGCGTGCCACAGTCTGTCGATACAAAATATGCCGATAAAACAACGTCAGAGCGGTGCCGGAGTGACGCTGCGGCTCTGCGTCGCTTGTTGAGGGAAGAAATTGTGACGAAAGGCGGCACTTATCTCAAATTCGACGCTAGAGTCTGAATCCTGAAGAAATTTGTGGTGTAGCCGTTCAGGTCCGACCCAAATCTACCAATAGTAAGTTTCTTTTCCAACTTGTTCAAAATTACGTTCGCCGCTGGTTAGGTTATGTGTCCATGCAGCTGTGGTGACATACACGGGGGACGTTTATGTTAATAAACGGGGAATTGTTTTGCCAAACTAAGTTCAGATCCTGGACGTATTCAGAAGGTATTAGGCACATGGCAGCTCATATTTGATTTCGCATCGAGCCAAACTTCCTCGCCGAAAAATGCCTTGGGTATTTGGAGCCCCCGTACAGTCTAATATGAAGACTTCTTATTTTTCTACTGCTGAGGCAAGTAGCGATAGGTCAAATACCTTCTTAAGTTCGCGAAGCCTGTTACGACGAGCTACTGGATGGCGTACACTCAAATAGGGTACTTTCGTAGATCCCTGAACCGGAAGCACACAGACGCCATGTTGGCGGAAGTAGATCCAAACTCGACATGGGAAAGAGACGTTCGTCAAAGGTATCAGCCACACTTAAACATAAACAGTCGTTTGATACTTGTTTGCAGTGCATATGTGTTTCGCGAGCAATATTCGAACAGCTCGGCAATAGTTTTGGATCTGAAGAGAGGTTAGTTTCCGGCCAATTTGGCGTCTGCTGGTCTGCTTGCTTCCGGTTCAGGATTCTACGAACCCTATTGTGACAGGCTTCGCCATGCGGCACCAGTAGCGACAATCCACGCATGGCGTCAACATGTACCTTGGCCTGCGACACTTCCTGCTTGCTATCGGGAAGCCCTCACTGTAACAGGGTACTTGGGAGAAAACTCAGACCGGAAGTCAGCGACAGAACAGGAGAAGCAAAAGAGCGTTGGGAGGCCGTGCTGAGCGGTGGTGGGGGTCGAAGTAGTGTACTTTCGTAGAATCCTGAACCGGAAGCAAGCAGACCAGCAGACGCCAAATTGGCCGGAAACTAACCTCTCTTCGGATCCAAAACTATAGCCGAGCTGTACAAATATTGCTCGCGAAACACATATACACTGCAAACAAGTATGAAACGACTGTTTATGTTTAAGTGTGGCTGATACCTTTGACGAATGTCTCTTTCCCATGTCAAGTTTGGATCTACTTCCGCCAACATGGCGTCTGTGTGCTTCCGGTTCAGGGATCTACGAAAGTACCCTATCGGCGAAGTGGGGGTGAAAGCGGCGCGCGCATGCTGCCCCCACCCCGCCGATTTCGACCCCCACCACCGCTCAGCACGGCCTGACGACGTTCTTTTGTTTCTCCCGTTCTGTCGCTGACTTCCGGTCTGGGTTTTCCCTTAAGTACCATATTTGAGATGAAGGAGTGCGTAGAGCACTCTGTGATGAAGGATGGTAGTAAATACCCCTACTTACAACTCTCTTCAACCCAGGGCCTGGCACCGATTGTCACAAATTTCCGATATTAATTTGGTTCAGATGGTCTTGCCGAGGCCTATCGCCATCGACAATGAAGTTCTGAGTCGGCCAGTCCGCGTTTACCCAGACCCCCAAGTGCGTTAACACGAAGTCGGGCTCCAAGACCCGCTTTCCGACCCCTTGTTGAAAAGGTCGTGGCGAGACCTATAGAAGACAGCAATCAATTTTTTGCAGTCGTTTGACCGTTGTACCGTTAGTGCATTGAGGCCTCAAGTTCTTTGATGGCCGTTTCAAACGGAATCAAGATTCCCATCAGCTGTTGCATCATGGCTCTTTCTTCCCCCCTTCATATAAGGTCTTCCCTCTTTTTGGACGCCGCCTGCGCATCTAATCAAATAAGCGGATTAATAACGTTTAGAAATATACAGGGTGAGTTTCCTCAATGTGTCAATAATTTGCAGGCAGTTTGGGCATCCCTAAAGGACCATTTTTCGCCAATGAACTAGTGGGCGCAAACGTCTAGGTACGGAGATAATTGGTGTTTTGTAATTGGATTTTGCGCCTTCGAGGTAGGCACCCGGTGCCACTGAGGGCGGCAGGACCTGTCGAGGGGGTGTCGCGCGACTAGCAGTACTCGCGGGAGTGCCACTGATCTCGCGGAAATATCTGAGGAATCCCGCCACCCTCGAAAAGACAGCCGTGAGATCCACTGTAACGGGGGCCACCATGACAGCCTCTTCAGACCCGCGGCAACCCCTCCCAAAAGACATTTGCAAGGTCCGCCGCACCCCTACGACACTCGATGCACCCCTCCTAGACCCGCGACACCTCCACGTGGGGTCCTGCGACCATCAGTGGCTGAGGGTGCCTACCTCGCAGGCGCGAAGGCCAATTACAAAACACCAATTATCTCCGTACTTAGACGTTTGCGCCCACTAGTTCATTGGTAGAAAATGATCGCCTTGGGGTGCCCAAACTACCTACAAATTATTGACACATTGAGAAAACTCACCCTGTACATTTGGACAGCAGTGCTGTGACGCTCTCCCGATCCTTTGCAGCCACGGAGGGGACCTCGTCACTATTCTTATGCCAGATGAAGAATGACCTTACCATCGCGAGGACTGACATTCAGCGGGTTTCAACCTCACCACTATACATGTATACCATTACTTTCGAAGAAGAAGGGAACACAGTCCATGAAAACTCCTTTACATCCCATGACAAGTATAGAGCAGGCCTAAAGCTAATGAGTACGGCCTGACGACGCTCTTTTGTTTCTCCCGTTCTCTGTCGCTGATTTCCGGTATGTGTTTTCTACGATGTGAGTAGGGTACTTCGTAGAAATCGAGACCGGAAGTCAGCGATAGAACGGGAGAAACAAAAAAGTGTCGGCAGGCCGTGCTGAGGGGTGGTAGGGATCGAAATCGGCGGGGTGGGGGCAGCATGCGTGCGCCGCCTTCACCCCCACCACCGCGCAGCACGGCCTGCCGACGCTCTTTTGTTTCTCTCGTTCTGTCGCTGTCTTCCGGTTTGGGTTTCCCCCGAAGTACCCTATTCCTGGTTAACTCATCGAGAAAGAGAATAGGGTACTTCGGAGGAAATCCAGACCGGAAGTCAGCGACAGAACGGGAGAAACAAACGAGCGTCGCGAGGCCGTGCTGAGCGGTGGTGGGGGCGTGGATGGACAGAGTGGGGACAGCTTGCGCGCGCCGCCTTCACCCCCACTACACCCATTTCGGCCCCCTCCACCGCTCAGCACAGCCGCGCGATGGTCTTTTGATTCTCCCGATCTATCGCTGACTTCCGGTCTAGGTTTTCTCCGAAGTACCCTATTAAATGTCACTCAGAATCATTATAGAGTGTGAGTGTACGCCAGACCGTGTCTTGTTACAGGCTTCGCGATGCTGTGCTTGTTACCGCAATCCACGCATGGCATTTACACCTTCCTTAGCCTGCGGCGCTTTATGCTGGCCTTCAGCAAGCTCTGAAGAAATTTA